TTGATGGTAAGCCAGCACAAAAGATTTTGTTATCGCTAAAGAATATCGTGGGCGTAGCTCATACAAACCGGGGGCTTGTGTTCCCTCATTGGAGATCTCAAAGTAGGTTCAAACGGAGGAATATAGCTCACAGTAACGGATGATAAATAGTACTAGCTGTTAATGCAAAGGATATTGAAACTAATGAAGTGTTCTATATTATGAAACTTTAGGAAATTACTAGCTACTGATAAGCGGGCTGAACCGCGAGTTGGTGAACGTGTACCGTATGTTGTGGTATATGGAATGCCCGGCTTGCCATTGATACGTTTGGTTCGAAGGTAAAGGAGTTAATACAGTAATAGCTGCTCTAGTTCGTCAATTATAGTATTCATTAAGTCGTTATATATTTTTAATACTGACAGTATTTTTGGCTACTATGATAGGCCTATTGAATTCTTAAGCGATCCAAGTTTAAGGTTAAATGCAGCATATTACATTACGAAACAAATTCTTCCCCCTCTTAATAGAATATTTTCACTTATCGGTGTCGATACAAATGCATGGTGAGTAATTCATCGCATAAAAAGTTACCTTCATAAAATCCTACGTTTAACAATATTATCTAAATCCTAGTCGTATAGCATAGTTATATTCGAATATATTATTAGTAGTTAGGTCTCTTTTTAACTTGATAAACGTAAAATTTGAATTAGACATTTTTCACCTTGCTTTGTTCTATCTTTTAGGTATAATGAATTACCGAGATCCCTCCGTTCGGCGGCTTTTGTCCCTCAAAGTAACGATCTAATTCAAAAGGTTTGTCTTTGTCCTCATAATACTTATAAAGTTGTTGATTTATCTATCAATTCGTTATTAATAGTTTATATGTGAACATTTTAGGCCGCAATCTCTCAATATTTTAATAGTTTAAGATGCCCTATATGTGAAATTGTTACAAATCATGGCATTTGCTGTAAATGTCAATCTGATCCTCAGAGTATGAACGTATGGTGAAATATTGCATCAATGGTTATACTGTACTGTATTACCAGCCTTTTAATATTACAGTCAGTATTTAGGAAATCAGATGTCACCCTCTTGGAATTTGGTACTGTAGCAAATCATCTTTGCACTGTAGACTGACCATGCCGAACGGTGATTGGATACGATAGATTAACTTGATTTCACTCGTACAGATCATAGCTTGAAAAATAGATTCCGTTTTCGGTAGAGCATACAATATTGTCAAGATTCTATATTTCAACGATGATAGTCAATTCTGTACCGCTACTTCTACCAATCATTTTATTAGCCATATTGCAAATACCTATGGCTCGCTCGGTTTGTGATGTAATATTCACTAATCGATCCTCAGAAGATGGAATGGGAACTGATACCATTAGTAAGCTTAACAATGATCGTTATCACTTGATTAACTTACCTTTAAATTATAACGTAACTGTTCAGGTGGATGTTGGTGACGAAACACGGAATTTATATATCATCAACTATTATATAGCAAATCTATATAAAAGTAACGCGCAAAATTTTGTGAGGCTTCCAACCGAATACAGAAGGCTTTTAAGTGGATTGATAAGATTGCTTTTAGGTGTTAGAAGCAGTAAGGATATACTCAGTATAGATGTTCAACTTGCATGTGGCAAGGAGAATTTGAACCAAATTTTTAATGGCAGTTGCCAGCTTGTACCGGAGCAGGCCCTAAAAATCATGGCTGACTATTGGTTGGATAAGTTTCAAATTAATTGCAAGTCAGACGTACACTGTGTTGATCAAAAAATATGTATGCGTATGGATCCGAATTGCCCTCTTTATTGCAAGGAATATAATGGGCCTACCAAAGATGGAAGAAGAGAAGACCCTATCCCCAATTAGCGTATTGTTGATATATACAGCCTCTGTTTTGCTGCTCTTCAGATTCATTCTCTCGGTTTTCATGCATCCCACAAGTCCAAGTACGGCCATTATACAAGGTGAACAAATGATTTGTACATCTCAATCACTTTCTCTCAGAGATACTTTGAAGCTAGTGACTTATCATTATGTTCCTGAGGGACAACATTATCAAGTACTACTCTTCCATTTGATAATAACTTCGATATGGATAATTGAATACTTTACTGGAGCGCTAGGTAGTTTTAGAGCAGATAATTTTCAAGTGTGGATTGAAGTTTTATGGTTCAACTTACCGCGATTCTTTATTTGGACTATAATTATCTTCGTTAATACCTTACAAGGCATCATCGTTGCTGTCATTGCTGCTATAAGAAAAAAAACTGTACAACATTGTAACGACTACAAGAAAGCGAGTGATGATTGGTTTGCAACTTTTATTCATAAAGGATTCTTTTACAAAATTCTGTATTGGCTACAGTTGCACGTATTTATTTTCGCTATTTCTTTCAAAGTCAATGACTTTAACATAAAATCCAATCGCTTTTATAAATATTTTCTAACAATCTATTTTACGATGACATTCCTAACAATATCTAC